CGGGCCCCGCGGAGCGGAGCGGAGCCCCCTCCCGCGGGCGGCCCCGGGCCCCGTCGCGGAGCCTCCGGGGCTGCCGCTCCTGCCGGCCCGGGGCGGGCAGCTCTCCATCCCTCCACGCTGCTGCATCCCCTCTAGCCCTCCATGCCCAGCCCTCCCCGGGCCCTCCGGCTGCACCCCCCGGGGCACCTCACCGGGGGTGGGATGCGAGGCTGGGGGCTGGAGACTGGAGCTGGGGGCACGGCCCCCGGCGTGAGCCCGTGGGGTGGGCGCGGGTGCCGTGGGGCCCACTGGGGCACGAGCGTGCACATGACACGAGATGCGGAAGCCAAAGCTCTTGCATCAGATCGGGTGAACTTTCCTAACCCGGCAGAGAGGAGAGTGGGCATCAAGGCAGCGCAGTCACTTCCCTTCAGGATGCCAAACTTTCTGCTGGTGTTAATCTCAACCCTCCGCTAAGCGTTCCCATTCCCTTTTTGCAAAGGGAAATGTCAGGGTTGTGGCCTCGGGCTGGGCCGTGAGCGGAGTCCTTGCGCCCCGTCCCCTCGCCAAAACGTGGGCTCTGCTGTTGCTTCGCTTTGCAGCCGGAAGAAAGCTTACACCCGGGGAGACTGAGCCGGCTCGATCCTCTCTGCTGGTGTGGACTGATGCCGCTTTACAGAGGAGATTTGCATTACTGAGGACCTGGCTGGGCACACGCTTGAGCACAGCTTCAGGTGTCGCTTTCCAAACCTCAGAGCCGGCAGCAGGGCCAGCATGTAGGAGGGGGTGTTAATTAGTGCTTGGCAAAAATACAGGATGCTGCCAAGTCATGGTATTACATAGAGGGAGGGATAGACTGGGTGAGAAGGTACAAATGCTAAAATAGTATTAGGTGTGAGATCGGCTTTGGGTGCTGCACCTGCTGGCTCTTTTGGTGGTGAGGCTGGAAAGGTGTGGTAGTGTTTGTGACCCCTCCTAGCCCTGGGCAGCACTCGCCACTTAACAAGTAACTCAGTGCTTGCTGGTGCTGCTGCTCGACAGACAGCGTGGTGCCTTCCCTGCTCCCGTGGGTTGGTGGGCACCGTCTGCCCAGCCTCAGGCTCGCAGCCGGCCTCTCCTGTCTCCTGGATTGGGCTGTCCCCAGCTGGGATGTCAGTGCCTGAACCCTGCCCCTGGAGCGGCTGAGCTCAATTCCCTGCTCCTGGGAGGCAGCACAAAATGACGAGGACATGACCGATCGGGGAAAATAAGGGCTTTACTTTGATTCCTGCAGGAGTCAGTAGTTTTCCTTAGCATACCTGAAAATGCTTTTGTTCTGGATAAAATTGGGATTTTCTTTGAGGAACCCAGTTGTGATAGGAAACTTTCAGTTTGCCTTTGTAACCAAAGGTTGGGAGCCATATGGTAAACCGGCAATGGTGTGTTAGTCCGCAGGCATGTCACGGCTGCTGAGTAGTCACCGATAGCCATGTCTGGCAGGTGGCTCAGCGTGGTGCTGGCCCAGCACTGGCCCCTTCCCTGGCCCAGCAAACCTGAAGGCTGCCTCAGCGGTGGCAGCAGAAGTAATGCCCGACTGTGTTGCTTTGGGAACCGTAGAGTAGATGAGCTATGTGTGAGGATCACTCTGGACCTCAGACCCTCCTGGCTTTCTCCTCTCACAGCAAAGCCCCCGGAGATGTCTGGTCTGATACAGCTGCATTGCCTGGGTCAGTTCTTTGGTTTCTCCATGGTGATGCCCATTATTTTGCCATGTCCCAGTGCTCACCAGCCTCAGGACCCCATTCTCCTCTTGCTTACCAGTTCGACATCACTGTATCACAAATGACCTTCATTTATCCTCATTTACACTGTTGGCAGCCCAGAGTCTCCTCGTGGCACTGCTCCACCCAGCTGGTTACATGGCAGGGGGACAGGGGGAACAGTTCTAACTTGCCTCTTGTAGGGTTATTTTTGCTTGTGGCCAGATGCTGTGAAAGCTGCTTCGTGACAAATGCTGTTTGTCTGGGGCAGAGAGTCCCCCATGGGCCTGATTGCAGTTACTGGTGCTGAACCCCTGATGCTCTGTCCTGGTGATTTCCCACGTGGTGTTATGTGTATCCCCATGAGCTGGTTCCTTTCTGCTCTGCCCAAATGCCTCATCTGTCTAGGTGCCTCCTTCTTCAAATTTCTGCTCATTTCATGGCTATGCCAGCTGCTCTCTAAACTGGAAGATGTTAATCAGACCCCAGGGCTTGGGGCTCCTACTATGGTTTCCTCCCCTTTGATTTGTCCCTTTGCCAGGCCATGTAATAATCCTGTGTGGACTGCTGTGAACATCATTAGGAGCAAATTTTGTGCAGCACTGATGGTGTTTTTCTGCCATCCACTTGTATTAACGCTCTCATTGGAAAAAAAAAAAACCTTTTACATGGGCCAGCATGAGTCTCCTGTTCCTCAGTGATCTCCTCCAAGCACAAAGTGATTGCTCTGCAATTAATTACTGTAGGATTTTAGCAGAACATCTGGGCACATTTGTGGGAAAGGTTTTCCAGCTATTGCAGAAGCTCGAATGGTTGAGCTGACATCCCGACGGCTGCAGAAAAAGTTCATTAGAGGATGAAGGGGGAGAACTTGCACTGCTCTGAGCAGTCCTGTAGTAATGAAGCTGTGTTCACATGGTGGTGGGTGCTGCTTTAGCTCCAGCAGTTAAAACCCAGCTGCTCTCAGGCAGGCAAAACGGTGATTGTCAGCTTTGGTGTGAGTGACATGAGCACACTGATCTTTCAACCCCCTCTAAGGAGAGGGTGGCCATGTATTCCTACTGCCTGATGGCTTGGCTTCATCTGCTCACTGCTTCCCCTTGCAGCCCAGGTTTAGATGACATCCCAAAGCACCAGGACATACTGGTTCCATACTGGTTTGTGCCTGGTTGTTTAGTGTAGCTTAGACTGCCTCCCAAACTGGAGCAACAGAAGCCTGTCTGAAAGGTCGGTGACGTCTGTAGCTTACCTTTGAAGCAGTGAACTGTACTGCTGCAGTGTCAGACATCAGACACTGAAATTAGAGTTAATCTCCAAAAAGTGTCACACTTGTGTGGTTCTGTGCAAGCCTCACTTGTGTCTATGCTTCCCAGCAATACAGCTGTTGGTAAAAGGATGGTATCTTGGTTTCTGAGGCCCCTTGCCTTATCCAGAACAGGTGATGGACCAGCTCTGGGGCTGAGCCATGCTTGGCACAGAGGATGCTGTCTGTAGGGGTCTGGTTGTGTTTGCTGCGAAGTTGTGGTACATGGGATGTGGAGCCGCAGGAGGGAGGAAAATAATCTCATTTTCTGGCAGCCATAGGTGTCTCTCTTGCCTATGCTCAGTGAGGTCTTTGGCTGCAGGACAGTCACCTCCTGTTCCTCATTCTGCATGGGTCTAAGAGTGATTTGGAGAAGTGTGACTGCAGTCAGTAAGTGGTGCAGTTAGACAGAATATGGTGCTCAGCTCCATGGTCAACGTACTCTGAAAAGAATGTTGAAAGGTTTGCAAGCTCTCCAACATATCTTAAAGCAGTCATTAATTAGGGAATTGGGATGATGGGTCTGTCTAGATGGCTATTGTAAGGATTTTGCTTCTGAGATGGCTGGTGCAGGTCCCAGGCTCTGTGAGCAGGGTGCTCCTATCCTTTTTTCCCCTGCTGATACTGACCTGTAACATAAACTGCTTTTTGGTCACTCGTGTGGCCTGCTGGGCTCTCGGCATGTGCCTGTGTATACTGTGGGCTAAGAGGGAATTCCCAGCAACTTATATCTTACCTCAGGCTTTCTCTGTGCCCAACTGTGAGCTATCACAAGCCCATGTATCCCCAGGACAAACCCATTTTCAGGGTCCTCCCCACAGAAAATCCATTCTGGCATGTGCCAGGAGGTCTTGCTGGCATGTGGCTTTGCTGGGGCTGCATCTGTGCTGCTGGGTGCTTCATGGTGAGACTCACCTGCTGAAATCACAGTGATGTTGTTTAAACTGTGTGGAGGCACCTGCAACCTTCCCATGGTGGATGGAGGAAAATAAGCTGCAAAAGGGCTTGAACTCCTCTTGTGGCAAACATCAGATGATCTTCACCCAGAAGCACCCTTTCTCCTCCTGTAGACTTACAGGCAGCTCAGGGGAAGGTGTCCCCACTGCTGACGTCTTGGTTTGGGGAAATGAACACTGCTGTTCGGGACAAACAAAGCCTCTTCCTTCACTGCTGCTGTGAAGGGGAAAAAAATGTGCTGTGGAGGCAAAGGGGAGCAGCTAGCTCCAAACCACGCCAGGCAGTTTGTCCCTGAGCATGCTTGCAGATGCCCTGGTTGTGGAGCAGGGAGTGATGGCAGGAGTGCTGAGGCAGAGGCTGCCTGCATGAAGCTGCCCACCAAAATCGGGGCTCTGAGTCTAAGAGATGGGGTCTGCCAGCTGTCATGTTTGGAAAGGGATGGGGGACACAGAGAAGCTGTAGCCAGTGTTGTGTTATTCCTGATGAGGGGTCTGACACTGGTGGGTACGGGGGCAAAAGGGCCAGTGGGCTCCCACACCATGCAGGCATGGGCATCTCCGCTGCCTGGGCCGGCAGGGGGATGCCGCTGGATGTTTCTGCCCTCCAAGGAAACTCCTGAACCAGGTCAGGCCCTCCTCCTGGTGCAGAGGGAAAAAACAGGCTCTGGAGAGAAACAGTTTGTGCCCTTTTAAGGCAATCCAAAGGCTGGGACTGGAACGATGAGGCTGGAAGGGAGGGATTTGGCACGGGCTGCGCAGTGGTGGGAAGCCCAGCCTGCAGGGTGTTCAGAAAAGAGACTTCCCGGCTGCTGCGATCACACCCCAAACACAGCTCCTTGGATCCCTGGAGCCAGCACAGCCTCTTCAGCCCCTGCTCCTGGTACCCTGTACAGCTCCGTCTGTCTGTCCTGCACCAAGACCCTCCATGCATCCAGGAGCCAGGAGCTGTGGCCAGGCTCGAGCAGGGCCAGTGCCTCTGCACAGCCCTGCCGGCGTGTCAGCCCTGACCCGCGCCCTGCCTGTCCTGCCTGCCCTGCCTGCTATTATAACAAGGTTGAGATCAATTTCCCTTTTCTATTGCCTGACAAAATACTCATACACAGGGAAGAGCACAGCTTTCCCATATACTGGAAGGTACAGAGATCTTGCCGTGCCTGTGAGCAGAGCTTTTGCAGTGCTTCGTCCTCCCTCATCTCCGTTTGATGTTTATACGGCCCCCAGTCCTGTTGTGTTTAGCATCCATCTCCCGACTGCCTGTCAGGCAGGGCAGTGCCACAGACTCAGCCCTTGAGTGGGAGATTGGACACCCAGAGATGGGGCTTCAGCTGCCTGAGGTGACCCAGGGATTTGGAGCTGCTACAAGGTGTGGGCTCAAAGGTTGTGCCCCCGGTGTGCCCTGGCAGACCCAGATCCCCTTCCTTATAGCCATGCAGCCGAGGCGAGGGAGGTGATGAGATCCTGCGCGTACCGTGGGGTGGCACACAGTATAGTGTGAAAATGGTGTTGGGTTTTGGGGACCTTGTCCTGCTGCTTCAGCTGTTCAGGAATTGGGAAGCACGTGGCTGTGCCTGCAGTGGGGAGGGTGACTTCTGCTGCTTTTGGCCATGTGGGAGCAGGACAGAGAATTACAGAAGTGTTGATGGAGAGGCCTCTGGAGACTTCCCAAGCTGCAGCTTGTGCCTATTGACCTTTCTTATATCACTGGGCACCACCGAAAAGTGTTTTGTTTTGTTGTCTTTGTAACAACCCTAGGTTGCTGTTAGATCCTCCTTAGCCTCCTCTTGGCCACACTCAAGCAGCCTGCCTCCCTTAGAATCTCCTTGTAGGACTTTGTTGCTTGGATGTCTTGAGGTTTATGTTGGCCTGGTCTTCAAAAGTATCAAGGCCCCTCTGGGCTGGAGCTCTGCTACTTGTGTTAGCTGCTCACAGTATTTTGGGGTTATCTGCAAATTTGCAGATCAAGGGGCCTCTTGATCATGTCTCATCAGATAATTTCAGGAAAGAGAAGAGAGAAATAGAAGCATTTATATCCTGCCAAGGGGCTGCATGGTTGCTTAGGTTGGTGCTCGGGTGTTTGCCCTGCACGTGAGCCTGTGTCCCTGGGGCTGCTGATTTCCCAGCCTCTGTGACTGTACCTGCAGTCCTGGAGAAGACTGAGATGCCGGAGTACAAGGGGAACCTGTGAGCGGTTGGCCAGGCACAGCATAAGCTAATGATGCTGTGGAGGACAGGGTGCCAGAGCCTGCTGTTTGCTGGTATCAGGGGTCAGCTCCTGCCCTTTGAGCTGCCCTGACTATACTTCTGCCCTGTGGTGGCAGAAATGGAAGAGATGTTTGGGGAGGAGAAGCTGGAACTGTTTCCAGCTGGGGTGACAACCTGTACAGTCTCCAGCACCAAGGATCAGTCACCCTGGCCATTGCTGCGTTGCCCTGTCGAGGGGTAATAGCAGGGCTGTGATCTAATGAGGTGCTGGTGCCATGGGTACCTCTGTAAGCACAGTCTCCCATCATTGTTCCGCTTTCTGCCTTTTCCTGGCACAGAAAGGAGCTGTGAGGTCCCATGGCTTCCAGGCCAGGGGGATTTCTACTGCTCCTGGCTGGCAGGACCAGTGGTCCCTAGGAGGCAGCTGATACTGCTGGGTGCTGTAATGATGGGTCCCGTGGGCATCCTGAGTTCTGCTAATTCTGCTAATTACCAGCCCTGGTAATTGTGAATCTGTGCAAACAGAAAACATCTGTGGGTGGTCTCTGCATGTGCAGATGTGGAACAGCTGATGGAGCACTGCTGGTGGGTGCCCACTCTGGCTGGCTTGCTCTGCCCCGTCCCTGCCTCCTGCCCGGTCAGCACCCTGTCTGACCTCCCGTCCTGATGCTGTTTCTGCCTGTGCTTTTTCTGTAGGATGCCAAACTGGGGAGGAGGAAAGAAGTGTGGTGTCTGTCAGAAAGCGGTGTACTTTGCCGAGGAGGTGCAATGCGAAGGCAGCAGCTTCCACAAGTCCTGCTTCTTGTGCAGTGAGTACCAGCCCTTCCCTCACCCCTCCCGCCCCATTTCCTGGCTCTCCGCCGGCTGGGCGCCCCATCATGTCCTGTTTATGGGCCCTATAAACGCTCTTTAGGATTTCTCTACAAACAGCCCGGCTGTGGGAGCTGTGTGGCAGGCTTTCCGCTTTTCTCCAGACTTGGAAGTTAGTTCTGCTGAAGGAACACAGATCATCCCAGGACACCAGGGGCCATCCAAGCTGTCAGGGCTGACTTCAGCCAGCACCCACGCAAAGACTTAGTCTGTCCGTACACCAGGGAAAGGCTAGGCTGAGTCCTCTAGACTATCTCCAGATGTTCGAGATTGGAGCATGAGACAGACTGAGGTGATGCTAGCTTTAGTCTTCTAAGTAAGTGGCTTTGCCACACTGAAAAGATGGTTGGGCCTTGGGAACTGGTGTGGGATCTGCCCCTGTGTCCCAGGAGATGATGGCAAGAAGCTGTGGTCCTGGCTCTTTGGCTGATGGAGTGCTAAAGCATCACCTCCAGCCTGCCTGCAAATCTGCTATTGCAGAGGGTGTCTCTGTTGTATGTTTGGACCCAAGTGTCACCTCCAGGGAAGGGCAGCAGAACAGGCTCTGGCTGTAGGTTAACTCAGCGCAGAGATCCCTTCCTCTGCCAGCTCTGCAGGATCCTTACAAGTACTCTTGTGTTCATGCTGCAGATCCCCAGACAGCCTTCCCCTCCATTTGGGGATACCAGGGCAGCACTGCAGGGACAGGTTAGTAGTGTTACGGTGCTGAGATCAGCTCTTTAAACTTGGGCCATCCACATCCAGGGGGGCTGCAGGACCTTTGAATAAAAAGATGATCACTGTCCTCAGCACATGTTTTACCAGATTTCTGTCCCCTGCCCTTGAAGACTATCACATAACAGAACTAGTGATTCTCATGTGCTAACAGGAGCATGCATATTGCCTGTGTCTGCTGATGGCTCATCAACACATTGCATCGGATACAGCAGCAGGAGTAGAAGTGCATCTTCGGAGCTGCCCTTGCAGCCGGGCCCCACTGAGGTTTAACGTTTTCTCAGCTGGCCCCTGTACCCTGTTCCCAGTCTCACCATCCCATTGCAGCAGGGAGCACAGACATGATCTTTTCCATAGCAAGCACTGCTAGGGTCTATAAACAGGCACACAGCTAGAACTAATCTCAGTAGACCTGTTCCAGCAGGGGACTACCAGTGTCCTCATGGGGCTGATCCCTGCTGTGCTCCTGTGTCCACCTGGCACAGATACTGGATACTTGTGGGCCAGCCTGCCTGGGATGCGACATGCACAGATGGATGCAGATGTGAGAGAGAGAGGCTGTTGCCACATCTCTGCTCCCTGTGCAGCATGAAGACCGGCCAACGTGGCCAGTAGCTCTCATATGTGGGAGTTTCCAGGCTGGAAATCTTGCTTTGGCTTGAGAGGACTAAGAAGGGGAATTGCGGGGAGGCTTTCCCCAGGCGGGCAGGGGAGTGGCAGGATGTGTCCTTATTGTGGCAGCTCTCTGCAGCAGGAAGTCTTGTTTCTTCTGCAGCCTCAGATAAGGAGGGTGGAGAATGTTACCCTTATCTGCCCCGCACCACTGGCTTTTACCATCTGAGTCCATATCATTGGAAGACCTCTGTATGGGGACTAAGATCCCATCGCACTGCATCTGCCCTTCCCTGTGACCCCTGTGCACACAGCTGGATTGCTAGGGAAAGCTGCTGCTGTGCCATGCTGGTACCCAGAGCACGGGGCAGGCCTCCAGGAGTCACGAAATCAGGCAAAAGGCATTGCTTTGGGAAGGGAATACATGGCCAAAGTAGGGAAGAAGGTCATCCCATGTCTGCTCATGGAAGCAAGTCACCAGGGAGTGGTCCAGAGCCGACTACAGCCAGGGCTCCTGTCCCTGTGCTTTGCAGATGTACATAATCGCACTCCACACGTACCCCAGCAGTTCTGCCCGTCCCGGCTGTGGGCTTCCCAGTTCAGGCTGTGGCTTGCATGCCAGCCCACAGTGCTGCCTGCTGTTCCCAGTCCTGTGCCACACGCTGCAGGTGATGCTGAGCTGCGCTGAACTCCTGTGTTCCCAGCCTGTTCCCCAGTGCTGTGTTTGGGTCTCATCAGGGAACTGAAGCCATTATCTTTAGGGGAGAAAAACAAATAGTTTGACCTGCCAAAAAAATAATCAAAAAGGAGCCA